ATTAATATATTATAAATCAAGATGTTATTTTATTTTGAAAAATGGGCCTTCGGCCCGCAAAAATTTTTTTTAGCAATTTTTATATGTCTACTGCAATTTTTATATTTCTCCCGCATAATACCAAATTTCTCCCGCAATTTGAAAATTTTCACGGTAACCCTGTTCACATATCAAAGCAATGGTATCCAACAACCAAGTATAATTTTTTCAGTTTTTTTATAATTATATTATTTTTTATAAATTAGATTCTTCAACAAAACCCAACTACCAAAATAATAAAAAACAAACCAAGTTAAAAAGCATAAGCAAAATGCATTGTTACTTACCATCTTTCCAGAGGTATGTGATGCTATATGGAAAACTTTAAAAGATATTCATATGCCAGTTCCAACTAGAGAACATTGGGAGAAGGTATTATAAATTTTGATATTAATATATTTTTAGATTACACAAAAATATTTTGAGAAACACGGATTTCCAAACTGCCTTGGATCATTAGATGGTAAGCACATAAAAATTAAAATTCCTGCAAAATCTGGAACCCCTTTTTACAATTATAGATCCTATAAATCATTTGCTTGGTTTAGCTAATTGCAAATTTATATATATAGATGTAGGATTTTATGGAAAACAAAGTAATGGTGGCATTTTCAGAAATAGTACTTTATATCAAAGTAAATTTTTAATTATTTTAGAATTGGAAAATCAAACATTTTTCATACCTCCTCCTGAACCTATATCAAATAATATCATTGTTTGATCTAGCCAAAGGCGTAGCCTGGATTTTGTAAGGGGGGGGGAGTGAATTGGAAAATTACTGGGGCTTCGCCCCAGACCCCTTTTACGGCGGGTCTTTGGTCCGATTTTGCCTGGTCTTCGGCTGGGTTACTTTAGTCTATATATAGTCATAAAATATTTTTACAAGGAGGTTAATTTTAATAAAAAAAATAAGCCTGGAACAAATATGAAATATATTTTTATTAGTTTATATAAAATGTAATAAATTACTTGTATATCCATTAATATAAAAGCATGGTAATAATTTATTCCAATAAATTTATTTATAAAAAGTAAGTAGACATATAGTTGATATTCTTCTATTATATAGAATTAGTTACAAAATATTAAGTAAAATTCCACTTTTACAGACATATTTGACAGTTAATATTTTAACAAATTTTACTAATTAATGCTCTTGATAATAAATATAGCAACAATTTGCATTCAATTATTTAACGCCATCTATTTATTATAAATAAAAAGATATAAAAAATTAATCTTCATATTAAAAGATATTTTCTGATGTCCTTATCAATATTTTATAGTTTTCTGCAAAATATTTAATTCGCTATTTTGGTAAAAATTACTTGATTGTCATATGATAATTGATAAAATTAGATATACTGTAAATCTACGACATGTAATATTCCACTGTTTGTATTGTGCTTTAATTTTTTTATTTAATTTATGATTTAATTTTATCAATAGTTTTATAATTAGAGTTGCTTTGTCTACCATTTTTCTCTCTTCTCTTGTTAATATGTTATCAAATCTTATTGTATGAATTATAAATCTGAATCTTTTGAGTGTCATTGTTTGTTACTCTAAATATCTCAATTCCAATCTTTGTTTTTAAGATTTGTATCACGTGAGTTTATATATTACAATTATTTCATATTTGTTTTAGGATTTGTATCAAGATATATATATTGTGTATTATATGGAAATAAATTTATGGACATGAAATAATGGTTTGGATTTGTATAATAAACAATATACATTTATTGATATACATATGAAATATTATACGATAGATACCAAACACCTTATGTATGCTTGGAAACGAGGTCTTTAATTTTATCAAAACCATAGACAAAAAAAGGTGACAGATTACAAGCGACCCCATACCTTCGTCAGCAGATTTCTTCAAAATATGTAGGTCCGATTTCCTAAGCTTTCACTCCTGTAGGGTGATATGTACCGCGTTTTTAAAGTTCTTTTCAATGTTTTTTATATAAAATTTATGTATTTTTTTTCATATAATTTTTATAATCCTACTTGTTTTAAATCATCTCCATATCGTTTTATTGTATTTAAAATTATTCACAATCAGAATAATATACAAACGAGCGCTTCTTAGTGCTGAACACAGCTTTCGCGGAGCTAAGCAAGCTCGAAATAAAAGATCATTTAAATGTTTTTAACGAATTCCCCCAATTAAAGTTTTTATTTATTAAATAAAATACAACCCTCGCATCCTCTGTGCCAGTCAAGCCTGGTTAGCTCCTATAAAGCTGCGTTGAGCCCTAGGAAGCGCTCGTTGATCTAATCAAAATTTTGTAAATCAATGCAAGAATGTTCATTTAAATCATCGTGGTGGACATCAAGGTTGAAATATATAAATTAGGGCACGATCTATACAAACCAAGTGCAGACTTAATACCCTTATATCTTTATTTGTGTAAAAGCTGTCAGGGCAGAGTTAAAACATCTTCATCTGAAGAAATAAGTACAGTTGACATTCTCAATAAAATAACTAATAATATTAGAGAATATAAATTAACATACCTTGATTCTTTTAATATTAATTAGATTATTAATCTCGACTATAAATAAAATTTAACGACAAAAATAAAATAAAAATGATGAACTTTGGTGGCTGATCTGAATTAAAAAGTCGGCTTAAATTATATATAAAATTTAATAAAATATTATATAATAAAATCAAATATATTCTTTCCATATTTTTTTTTAAAAAAATTTAGAGTAACGTTTTGCGTTACTGTTACTCAATCGCGCTACTCGTTAGCCTTTTGTAACAAGAACCGAATAACGTTCCTTTTCTTCAAAGGTAACGTTACTTTAATCGACTTTACTTTAAAGTACTTTTATTATATAATAAATTCAATTTGAAACATTTAAATTTTGTTTTCATATCCAAATCCATAATAAATCAATTGTTGAACATCGAAATGGTACTACAAATATATTAAATAGGAATAGTTTCAATATCTTTATTTAATTATATTTACATTAGTGATCTTCATCGGGCCTAATTTTTCAAGCCCGGTCCGGTCCGAAATTTTTTTAAAACAATTTACTGGGCCGGCCCGAATTTATTTAAAAGGAATTAATTTTTATAATTACTCAAAATAAAAGGCATATGTTATATGGCGTCCAATTTCTATAATAAAATCAAATATTTTTATTTTACATAAAAAATTCAATATAGGATTGATAAATTTAGATATATTTAGAAAAAATTTCAAGGCCTGGCCCGAATTTTTTAAAAAATATTAGGCCTATAATCCCGAACCCGATTTAAAAAAAAAATTAGGCTCGAGTCCGGCCCGAAGCCCGTTCGAGCCCTGTCTACTTTTGCAGATGTCTAATTTACATAACAAGTTGTCTTCAAAGAGATTTTCGGATTTTTTTTTATTTTTTAACATAATAATTTGTATTCGTTTTTTTGTATAATAAAGATTTTTTCTCTTGTTCAGAGTAGTTTCATTAAATTTATAACACACAAAAGAATTAATTCGACAAATTATTATCCTTAGTTTGGAAATTAAAAAAATTGCTGAAAGCGGAAACCGCTTTAAAAATTTATGCAAATAATTGTATCTGATGAATATGAAATTATTCGAATTAGAATATTATCGTTCCTAAAATACGGATTGAATGACGAATCGTTTTAGGTGTAACTCCAATTATTTCCTCAATATAAATTAACGAAAATGTGAAATGAAAATTAAATATTATTTTAAAATTAATTAAAGTCATTTATCTTATTATTTAATTTTTTTATTGCATATATAACACAAACTTTTTATTAATTTACTTTTTCCTTGGTAATTTTTTTGTAGGAGTAAACGTTAATATATAATTTTTATTTACAACCTTTATCAGTCTAAGCATTAACCGTGTCCATAACTGCTTCAAGCTAACATTTATCAAATAAATCATTATCACAGCCTTCTATCTATAAGCTATAAACTTTCAATATCTTCAATCTTAAATTTTATAAAATTGGGATGTATATATTTTGCTAAAAAATTACTAGAACGCAATTTTTTTTATAATTTATGGCAAAAAAAGGTTCTTGGAAAAATATATCAAACCAAGACCGATTTCCAAAAGATAAACATAGACATGATATTTTATATAAAAATATCTCCTCACCAAGTTTAAGATCCTTTTACTTAAGAGTTAAATATTTCTATTAACATGTGCATGCCTTAGAATACTGTTGCTCACTTCATTAAGATAGCCTGACAACCCACTTGAGTAACAAACGTGCCTTCTTATTTTTGAATAAGGTAGAAAGAATTAGTAATTACTTCATTGATGAGTAATCTTCAAATTATTGGAAGCATAGCATGGAAAGAATTAACATTGTTATTATATTATCAATATTAATATATCTTCTCCGGTTTTGCAAACTCAAAATTTTTTCTGTTGATCAAAAACAATTTTAAGGTTTTTTAAATAAAGACTTTAAGAATGCTCAAACAGGATTTGATCAAATTTTGCCCAAAATTAACAAACTTTATTAATCTTTTATGATTTATATGCATATTCATCAAATTTCTTTTTAAAAAAATTTCATTTTGTTGATCTTCAAAAATTTTTGCTCAATATTTTGGGTAAAAAATTTTTACATGCTTATTTGATAATTCTTGATCTTATAAATTGTATAACTAAAGGTCTTGGCAAAATAAAAAATAATTTAGGAGTTTTTAAATGAAATATAGGTGTGTCACTTTTATCACTAGTGACGCACATATTTAATAATATCATTTACAAAAAATATCAAACTTAAGTGCATTTTCTATGAAAGAATTTCTTTATTTTCAACGTGATATAATTTAAGAGGTATGTATTTTCTAAAAAAAGTAAACAATTTATTTGTTTATTAATTTGCTAATAAATATCATATAAATAAATATATTTATCATTTTCTGAAATTTGAATTAAATATAATATTTTTATGAAAATAATAACATAATGACATAATTATAAAGGTTATTGTTTTAAGATTGATTTATGCAATGACTGGAAAATATTTCTAAAGAGAGCATTTGATTATATATAAATTAGTTCTGAAAATTTTATTTATTATTAGTGGTTCCCATTAGTGATTCCATTCATTTCATGGCTAGGTAATGGAGTTATTTTAAAATCTCGAGGTAAAACTCCATGTCGTGTTTCACCTAAAGCAGCTAGTATTAATTTATTAGCGGCCCTGACCGTCTTTTGAGCCTCCTTTTCATCTCCCAATTTGACATTGACTTCTACCATGTCAATTCCTACTATACATCCTAATATTCCAAATAGTAAATATTTTTTATTTTAACAAGAAAGACTAAAATAATATACTTGTGCGACATAGTTCTTCCATCAATTCTAACCCTTCCCGTAATGTCATGCCTCCATCAACAGGTGTGCCAGTTGTTGGAGCATCCTTAGGATCCAATGAATCAATATCAAATTGAATGACAGTCGGTTTATCGAGTCTTTAAAATTTGTTAATATAGTTTAAAACCCTGATAACTCTAGGTTTAAAAAAAATCATGCTTGATAAAATGTTTATTTAACTTAATCTTTCGATCTTATCCTTAATTGTCAATTTTATACGAATAAATGATGAATATATATCATAACTAAAATTCATTAATAATTTTTAAAAAAAGGAAAAATTTACAAATTGTTTAAATGTAAATTAAAACCTCTATGGACCCATGCACCTCTCCCAAAAATGAAAATAATTAAATATTTTTTTAGAAATAAGTTGGCATTCAACATTATTTCTCCTTGGAAAAATTCTGACGACGCAAGCTCGACTATAAATATAAATTTTACTTCGGGTTAATATGTTGTAGAGCCATTCTAGCTACACCTTGTATACCATGTTCATCAATATCTTTTACACTGAAATGCCTAATGTTTAACTTTTTCAGGAAGAACCTATTATGATAAATATAATTAGATATAAGTCTTGAATATAGTTTTAAATATACAAATATTGCAAATAATTGAATATAAATATTATTACATTTCGGGAGTATCGACATCCCGCAATCCAATATAGACTAAATGATGTGCCGGAATTCTATTCATTTAAAAATAAATACCATTTTAGTTTTAAAAAATGGGCTTAAGAAATCAATTTTTAAACCTTTCTTTATGCCATTCCCAACCGGGAAGAATATTTTGACCCGGAGTATTAAGTTCTTTTATCATCAAACCCATAGGACACCCGTGCAAATTTCCAGAAGATGTGGTATATGGTAGGTGTAGATCGGTATGCGCATCAATCCACACAACCCTCACATCGGGATATACAGATACGTGACCATGTAATGAACCTGCTGCAAGACTATGATCACCACCTAAAATTAAACAAATCCTATCGTCTTTTACGATTTTTTGAACTTGGTCAGAAATCTGAATTAAGCACAGCAGTGATATATTGCAAAAAATGTAGACTTATATAGGTACAAGGTAATAAAAAATAAACGTCTGAAATTTCTTAAAACACTTAAATAAATTATAGGTAATGTTAAATATCGCATGGTGATATTGAACCAATCAAAATTTGATATGATAGAGGTAACCAATGTTTATTTGTAATATTTATATATAAAAAAATCATTCTATTTGAAAAGCATCTGTGGTATAATCGGTTGAGTACATGTAGTTCTGGGTTCGAATAGAGCAAGAACCCTGTTTCTTCTGAAGCTACCTAGGTGCTCCTATCCTAGAGATTGGGGGGGGGGTGATATATAGTAGACCGAACTCAACCACTTGATTCCATTAATATATAGTAATAAATAAATGAGTCTTATTGCATTTTAAAAAAAATTGGTCGTTGTTTAGCCATTTCTTATGTTGATTATGCGATATCTAACATTAGCTTAAATTATAACGGTAAGTATCACATGCTTTATTTCTAAGATACTTTTGTTTAATTTTTTGCCTAATATATTATTTCGAATCTTCTAATTTTAATTTCAAATTCATAAAATGCAAAGTAAAATATAATTCAAGGGAGTTGGCTAATGCTAGTTCACGCGATGTTTTTGGGACCGTCATTTAAGAATTAAACAGAAAGGTGTTTTATATAAAGAATTATGTACTAAAGAAAGCTCATATTAGCAATAACTAAGAGCGTATTGATTCGTAGTATAGCTAAAATGATCGTGGCATTATAAGATTTCTATTTCCTAAATATGTATAAATATATTTTCTTAAAATTTAAACTTAGTTCATATGGCAATAAATTAGATGGATAAAATAAGATGATCTAAGTTAAATAAATATAGTATGGGAGTTTATATGAGGTAGCCAGAGTTGTTAAACCCTACTTTTAAAAGTAGCGCTCTACCACTATCCCTATTAGTCAAAAAAGTAGCGCTATACCTCTATTTTACCCATCAGAATAAAATAGCGCGCTATTACTTACTATTAAAAGTAGCTTTGGCTACTTTAGTATATAATAGATAAAAATCAACATTTATAAATATTTATATATAGTTAGTTTAGGTTATAAAAAATTTATGTAAAAATATTATAATTTATGTAATAAAAATAACTATTTATGGTAATATTCATTTTTTATTTATTTTGTTAATAATAAAATCATTTCTTAAATAAAAATACTATTAGAATAAAAAATGGCAATTACCTTTAGGTGATTTTTGAGGTTATAGCTACTAGATGTATTTGAGGATATATTTTTTTATAGTTTGAACAAATAAATTTATAGCCAACTTTTGTTTTTACATTAATTTGAAAATATTTTACAAATTTTGGAAATGGAAAATTTGTATTATTGTTATCATGAACATTTTTTCCCAGGGCACCTATCATTTCATTAATATCAAAATTGTCTGACTCACTTACATGGATTTGGAAATCCATTTGCGATGGCATTTTAAATAATTTTCATCAGATGATTTAGGTTTTAGAATACAAATTGAAAATATAAATTACAAATTGAAAATATAAATTTCAATTTCAAAAGTAAATAATAAATTTAAAATTATAATATTATTTTAAATTTTACTGACCGAACCTGGTATCTAGCGAGCTACTTTAACAACTCTGGAGGTAGCTCACCAATCCCAAGATATTTGACACTTAATATTTTGTCCCACTTATAGTGGCGTAAACAAGGGGGGGGGGTGAGGTTTGGGGTTGGAATCCCCACCCCCATATCCCCCGAATTTAAATGTTCACATGGTTTAAATTAAAAATTATATGAACTAAAATAAACAGTGGGGGGGGGTACTATAAAGATATATTGTAAATATTTTCTGGCACAGTAGAGCCAAAGATTTAAAAAAAATATGATCTGTATATCTTGAAAGATATTTTTTGAAAAACAGTTATAAATTTAATAATATAATTTATATTGTTAAAACAAATTAGATATTTTTAAAAAATTTTATTTCTTTTTTATAATTTTTAATTAAAAGAAAAACCGTTTAATTTGGTAAGGATAAACAGCAAGCTTTTATTTTCTTTTGGAGTCTGAATTGTTGATTACACTTGAAACGCGAGAGGATATTAAGAAAGTTTTACTCTAAGGATATCAGGATCGTATGATAAGTTACTTTGTGATGTCAAATTTTGGTATAAAAATCTTGACAGAATAGAGTACTTTTTGAGGGCAAAAAATGCTTGCAGACCTTTTCCTTGCACTTTAGATTTCCTGCCTAATATCAAAACATTGTTTTCGCTACCTTACCGATTAGTACCTGCACTAATGAAAGGTCTTTTTCAACTTTGAAAAGGTTAAAAATATATTTAAGAAATAGAACCAGTGAAAACACTTTAAATGAATTAGCCCTATTAAATATTTATAAGGAGATTATTCTAGATAAAAATTTGATTCTAAATAATTAGCCAAATTTCAGAGAAAAGTAGATCTCTCTTTATTTCAAATCATAAAATTGCAATATAATTATAATATGTTCTTAGTCATAAAATTTTTATATGCAAAACTAATTATAATAAATTCTTAGTCATAATATTTATATTATATTATACTATTTTTTAATAAAAGTATTGCATTTGCAATAAGAGTTATTTATATTTTGATGATATAATCATTTGTGTTAATTATAATTGTTAAATTATATATTTTTAAATACCGTTATGTGCAACAAGAATTATATTTTATTATAATTATATATATTTTTTTAAATAGTTATTTACAATAAATTTTTAATATAATAATCTGTATAAAATTTATGATATTATTAAAATAAATACATCGATAGATAAATAAATGAATGTTATTTAAAGGGACGAGAACCCGAACCCTCAATATTTCGCTGAACCCAAACCAAAACTCAAACCCTTTTTTAAAATTTAGGGTTCATGGTTCAAGTTTTTTTTTAAATTTTATAAAAAATTTATATATTAATTTAAAAAAACATTTGATCATTTTTTCATGTAATCATTTTTGTTATATTTAGTAATTTTTTAAATTGTATTGTAGTATTATAATTATGAAGATAAATAATTTTTATCGTGATACTAATTAAAATAAATTTTAAAAAAAAATGATGTTTCTGTTATTTTATAATTTTAATAAGTCATTATTTTTCTGGTCTCCGAACCCTCACCTGAGCCCGACCGGGTTCAGAGATTTTTCACTGAACCCAAACCCATTTTTTAGAAGGAAGGTTCTCGTCCCTGGTTATTTATACTAAAGTATTTTAATAATAAATAAAATCTTTAATGAAATTTTCGGTAAAATTTTGTTATATGCAAAAATTTAATTAAAATAATTATTTTTAACATATAATAAGATATATTGAGTGATCAATGAGAAGTTTATGATTGGGAGGCGAATTTTTTTACTTTCTACCACGAATGGATTGAATTAATTTACAATTGAACACTAAACATTGATAAAATTTTCAAAATAATGCTTTGTCGCCTATTAATCATAAATTTGGCATAAATTTTATTATTAATATTTTTTCATTTATGCTGGCTACTCAAGTGGGTAGACACTAATTTCGCAAATATTGGCATATTCTAGAATTATATTTCGAATTGCTTAGCCAACTTTAACAAAGATGATATAAAGATAACTACTGAATAAATATTATGCAATATTTTTTATGGACTCGGCGAAGGCCGGAAAGGAGTTTGAGCGCAGCCCCCCACAAAATTTTTAAAACCCGATCTATGGATAAATCCTGGCTACGCCACTGCCCAGTTAAATAGATCAATCACAAATTTGCCTTTCTCGGAATAATAATTTTAAGTTAATAATATAAAGAAAAATTTGAACGAAAAATTAGTAAAGGTTACTAACTTTTGAAATAATGACTATAATACAAAATTTTTAGAACATTTTTTATTTTTATTTATTTAAATATATATAGCCAAAAGCCTACAATAAGTGGACCTAAAAACCTGCAATAAAATTTATGGAGGGAAAACTGCCTAATAGTGCTCCTCCTATAGGAAAATCGTGGATACACCTTTTATTAGAAGATTATATAATGTTATTAATTTGATTTTTAAAAATTATTTAATAATATTTTTATTATTAATGTTTTTGTGACTGAAAAAATAATATATTATATAACCGGGGCACTAATATGGATCACTGAAAATTTTAATACATGGTTTCCCATTCGAGTTATCATATTATTTTCTTGAGAGTGTTAATATTTCATTTACTAAATTTTTAAAGTAAGAAATTATTTTAAAAAAGAATATTAAAAAAATCAAGAAAATATGACAATAAAAATATAGCATAATATTGAAGAGAAATCGTAAAAAGTTGGAAAAAATTAAGAAAGAAAATTAAAAATTAAAGATAAAACACACTATAAATATTTTTTTTAAAAATATACAAATAGGAAATTCCTATTTTCATTAGAATCTTTTTCTTCTCTTGTGGAACTCTTCCTGATCGGACTTTTGCCCTTTTTTTTGATCGAGATTTTTCCTTTCTGATTGGATTTTATCTTTTTTTAATAGGGACTTATCCTTTATTTTTTGAATGGAAAACCCAGTCAAATTAATATAAATTAATCCCTTGAAAACAATTCAAAACTCTGTCTAAGTATAGGGTTGACGGGGAAATCTTGTATCAATATCACTTTAAGTATAATTAACCACGCTAAAAATAAAACATGCATACTTTATGGAGTTTCTTTATTGAACAGGACCTAACCGAAATCTTAAACAACTGATATAAAATTTAATTTCTTGAATATAACTGAATTAAAATACATAAATTTTGTAAATGTCAAAAAAAACCAAAACATTTTCAACGTATATCTTGTTGGTTTGATATGAGATAAGTTCAAGTTATATTGAACTTTGCTTTGATAAATTGAAAAACAAAACAGGTATATAAAATAATATCTTTAGATCTTTCTATTGACCTTAGTTTTTGTTGTATTTACATTTGTGTCACGTTAGATAAACTTAATTGTTGGTTTGAAACAGTGTTGTTAAAATAGCGCGCTACTTTTTTAAGTAGCGGTAGCTTTAGCGGGCTACTTTTTTTTAGAAAATAGCGATTCAATTTTACATAATAAATATCTAAAAATTATTAAAATATATTTTTTATTAAATCTAAAATTATAATCCTTTTATTAAATTTAATTTAATTTTGAAATTTAAAATTATATTTAAAAATATACATTATAAATCTAGTTAGCATTATAAATCTAGTTATTAAAAATGTGTGTGGAAAATGAGAAAAATATAGATTATCTTTTCCCAAAATTCAAAAATACTTTAATCTTAAAGAAAAAATTACTACTGGATATCCGTTTTAATGCAAGATGTGTCGCAAAATTTTATCCTCAAACCATACAAGCAGCTTTAATTTGAAAATAAACAAATTTAATATCAATGTGTGTAGGCTAATTCTTAATTTTTAAAATAAATTTAAATCAAAGACCAATCATTTTTTTTATATATTCATAAATTTTATCTAAATTATTTAAAACATTTTAAAATAGTTATTTCAATCATTTTTATGTACTTATCTCCTACATAATTTTTATTCTAAGTTTTATAATTTTAGACTGTTCACACCTCAAATTATAAAGAGATTGTCTCAAAAGTTATGGGGTAATGGAAGAAGATACATCCACTTCCAAATCAAATTTAATTCTAACAAAATTAGGCAATTTGGATTCATCAACACCAGGTGTATGTCAAAAATTGGCTGACAAAGTCATAATGAACTTTACAATAGATACTGTTCAACCATTATCCTTGGTGGATAATGGTTCTTTTATAAAGATGATAAACACTTTTTCTCCACCTACCAAGATATTTTGCCGGCAGTCATTGATGGCAAGAATTTTGGATAGCTTTAAAGAAATGAAAGAATCTTTAATATTAAATCTATCAGATGTCTTCTACATCTTTACAACAGCAGATTGTGGAAGCACAATAGAAGGTAAAAATGTTTATTTTCTGATTTATAATATGATATTCATATTTTTAGAGCTTATTTAGGAGTGGGCTGCACATTGGATTGATCCAAAAAAATCTAAAACGAAAATCTGTAGCATTAGCTCTAAAAAGAATAATTGGCTCTCAGACTTATGACATTCTAGCAAATATTATTTCAGAAATCCATATGTCTTACAAAATGCTCACTTAAAATCTTGGAAGGGCAAGATAATATGAGCATGGGATATTATGTTCCCACACTGAGTATATTAATTACCAAGCTTAAAAGAATCAATAATCTAAAATTTTGCTAACCACTGGTAGAGTCTATGCTAAAAGGCATTGAGAAAAGGTCAAAACTTTATTTTTATTTTCTATTATACAATTATATAAAATATGATTTATTGCTTGATTAGCCATAATTTAAATTGGCTTAATTTACAACACAATCTATAATATTAATATATAGTATTAATATATTATTAATTACCTTGTGTATAATAATTATATTACCATAATATAATGCTATTTTAATATTTTTTTTATAAATGAATCTAAATCTCAGATAAATTTAAATTTTGAAAATTAAAAAGGTATTCTTCTTTTTTTTATAATAAATACAATCGCTTTATATAAATTAGATTTTCAGATCTGTATGATGATGATAATGTAATAGCTGCTATCGTTCATCCTTCAAGTTAAATTGGCCATACATTAATTTGACTGAATCTAAAGGGCAACTTGATAGGCTGATGGTAACCTTAAAAAATGCTATATTTAACCACGATACTAATACTATAGCAAGATCGAAACCGCGGCCTTCCATAGACGATTTTTTTGAAATAAATAATAATAATATTATTGAACCTCTAGATGCTTTTTTTAAATCTTAAAATGCTCATTTAAATATTTTTGATGATTTTTTTCATATAAAAAGTGAGGTTATTAAATTTAATACTGCGTTGCCCTCAAGTGCTAGTGCTGAACGATTATTTAGTATGGCAAAGCTTATACTTTCTGATATTCGCTCTAGACTTGGGGATGACAGTACCGAAATGTTATTATTATTAAAGTGCAATAATAAATAAATTATATATACATATAATATATATGTAACAAATTATAGAAGTCATGTCTTTATACCAATATTTTATTTGTGGAAATAAAGTTACCTAAAAAATATTTTTAAAAAAAATCAAAATATCGTATAAAGTAGCTTTAGCTACTTTGCGCGCTACTCATTTGAAAACGATAGCGGTAGCGATAGCGCGCTACTTTTAAAAGTAGTGTTTAACAACACTGGTTTGAAATTAAATGTTTATATTATATTATTTTTTATTTATTTTTTTTAAAAAAAATTAATTGATTATATATAATAGATAATTGTAGTAATAGAATATAATATTCCTATTCCAAAGATTTATTTTGCTCTTTTTAATAAATATTTTAGTTTTTCACCTAAATATGATTATATATACATATATATAAGAGACCTGCAGGTCCGGCCCTAAGTCTAGCCCGGGCAGGGTCTAAAAAAAATCTGGGCCGTGCAAATGGTACTTTTGCAGACTCTGATATATATATTATTAATTAAATATCTTTCTAACATATTGTATTATATATATATAATTGTATTATATAAAACTAAAAATATAACACCTTTTTGCAATAATCAGCAACGGTATTAGGGTTCAAGACTTTTCCGCAGGCATCATTGGGAATGTTTGCTGGATTTATATCACCATAGTCTTTGACATCTACACCTATGCATTTTATTTTATCGATTAATCCATCTTGCCTCATCATATCAGGGCCTAATTCTACTCCTCGTTTTTTCTAAGTTGAATATATCATGTTAAAATAGTTTTTATATAAGGCTTACATTATTTTTAATCTATTTATCACGTAGCAATTTCTTTGTCATTTAATTATGATTTTTTGAGAAGGCCGATATAATTAAATTTTTATTAAATAACAGTTTTAAAATTATAAACATCAAAGTGATAACGTCTTTTTATTTATTACGGTATTATATTATGCATACATTCTTTGAGGAGAAAAATATTTTTAATATCAGGTAAGAATTAGTTAACATTGTTTACAACAATCCTAGTATTTTCTTAGAATTTCGTATAAATAATGTCAATAACACATTTTTAATTTATAAATAGATTTTTTTTTTTAAGTATATTTGAAATTTGTTTTAAGGCAAATTATTTATAAAAAAACATATTTTGTATGATATTTTTTGCATTTCAGATAATAAAAAATTGTTATTTTCCTATCCCTGGTATGGGAAAATAACAATCTAAAGTGTAATGTTCGGCTTGGGTCAAAAATTTGTACTTTGAAAAATATCAAAAAAGAATAAATTTCAAAAGTACAGTGTACACTATAATAATTTTAGTAATTGTCTTGCACTGGTAAGGGAAGATTAAAAATCGGGCTTTTTGTTAAATTTTAAATTTATATTCAAATTCACTATTAAAATTTAATTTTTTCCCCATTTTTTTTAATTTCCTTTAAAAAACATCTCCTTTTTAAAAAATTCGGATCCGGTTAATTGTATATGCAGTAATTTTATTGTGTTGAAAGAAAAGAATGGACAAGGCTAACGCAATAGAATTTGTTAAATACATTTTACTAGACCATAAAATTGGGTGAATTATATTATTTTGGTCTCGTTGTTCGGATCAAGCCACACAGAGATACTGTAGTGTTGTTAAAAAGCTAGATTTTGCCGATTTAACGGCTAACTCAAAATTGGAAAAAAATATTACACAATCCCGGATATTTTGCAGATAAATAGCAGAAAGGTTTGAACATCTATTGGCAAAATCTTGAGACTTAGGTAATATTATTTAGGCGAAAATCTTGATTAAGCGTTTTTAAAAATCGGCTAAATCGTTGAAGAATTTAGTTGCAAAAATCTAGCCCAATTTTACCTCGAATAATGAATTTCATTGTTCGAGTCAATTCGACTAGATTTTTAGGATTAAATTCTTTAATTATATAGGGGTTTGCTTGACCGGTTAATCAATAATATTTAAGTTTATATTAACCGGAGTAGATTAGGTTTATATAAAAATTATGATGTTTTTTAAAATTCCGATGGTTTTTTAAAAAAATAGGCCTTCTTTATAAAATTAATATTTACATTATACTGTATCACTATTCAAGCCACATCATTAATTGTTTTTACCTATGTAATAATTGACAAGCCAAATTTTTTGAACTTGAAAACTTAATGTTAAAAGTTTTTTTAAATATAAGAGTGCGTCTTAACTCATCTTATTTTATTTGCAAATTCTAAATAGCTGCTGAATGAAATGCGATTTTAGGACAAAAAATAGTGTCATTTTTTTAAAAAAACGTAAAAAAGGTGTAATGGCTTTCTTTTTTTTAAATAATACTCTATTCAGATTCAGAATTGAGAACAAAAATTGATTGGCCAGGACGCTTCTAAGATCTCTGAATTTTCAAATTTATTTATATAAATCTTGCTAACTTATTACATATACAAAATAAAAATTTTTTTTAGAAATTATTGAATTGATATCAATATATTTATATTTTACCCTAACAGTTTATTATATCATTCCAAAATTTGTAAAAATTACTTGGCCTTGCCAAACTTTTGCTCCTATAATTCCAACATTTCCTTGACGAGATCTTGGTTCAAATTCAGAATTCATTAGAGAATGGTATGTTGAGATAGTATTTGGATATTCAAAATTCCTAAAAAAATATAGTTTTAAATTTTGCGAAAATCATATATATCAGCAATGTTTGTACATTATTTTAAATCCAATTTTCAAGTTTTTTTAAAAAATTTGTCAAATCGATTTTATGCCAAATTTCAGGTTTTACCCTGATTTTAATTATATATTTATAATATTGTACAAATAAGGAATTAATTTAAAAAGTGTAAATATTGCTTTTATTTAATGATTCTTTCTAATTATCATAAATAATATTACGATATATTATGATGAAATAATTTAAAAATTCTATTTATAGTATAGGTAAGTTACCAAAAAAAATTAAACTTTTTGTGAAATTTTTTTTCCAGCTAATATAATTGCTATAAATAACAAAAAATATCCTGAAAAAAAATCTTTAGAATCTAATTTAAAATCTTTTTACTTTGCGTCAATACCTAAATGACAATGATAATAAGATAAATAATACATCTTCAAAATATATTAACTAAAACATTTATAAACAATGATTATATAACAATCATTTTTTTTAGCTTAAAGTAATTTGCTTATATATACATATATGCATTTCGCCGTTCCCTTATAATATATAAAGTTGTTGACATAAATCAAATCGGAGACCTGCAGGCTAGAATGAGAGGGCTAAAAGAAAAAAAACACAAACCAAAGACAAACCTATATTTTTTTTAAAAACAAAGCCCGGGCCGGGAGGAATTTATTAGTTGGTAAATGATATATCATAAATTATTTAATATTTATTTGTCTCTCATATTCCTTTTTTAAAACGATTGACAAAATATAGAGCCAAACATTGACGAAATTTAAAAAATCTGGGTAGCCATCTGTATAATGATTTCGGAGACAAAAATAAATACGGTTAAAAATGATAAAATCTGGGCCAACTAAAGAATCTACTTTGCCCTTCTTTTCTATAAATCATTTTAAAAATGCTTTTTTTAAATTTTAATTAAAAGTGATATCGAGCAACACAAAACAGAAGTGCTTTAGGGGTTAAAATTTAAAAAAATATATTTCAATTTTGATTTTTTTTTATTAATAATTAAAATACTTTCCCCCTCCAAGTATTAATTAAAAAATATTAAGAATTTCCACCTGAAAGTCAAGTTTTGAGCAGGAATATTATATTTAAGCCAATATCTAATTATATCAATGTGAATACTAAAAGAAGGGTTAATTCGAAAGAAGGTGGCATTAATACTTTGTGATGTTTATAGGAGTAAATTAAATGGTTATCATAATCATACTTGGCCAGAATCAAGTGCTTGATGTAATGGTATTTCAAAGCAAACACGTAATAATTAAGTTGGTCAATCATCTCTAAAACTTTATTTCGTGATTGAGTTCTAAAAAAAATTCATTTTTGTAAAAGACAAAGATTACTAAGCTATCTTCCTAAAATTTTAATATTCAACTCTAAATTAATTGGGTGTGTTCTTTTAAAAGGGGAAAAAATTCTGAAGGAAATAAATATTTAAGATCATAGCAAAACTATTTAATTTATTCATCGAAGAAATCAAATGTATTTCATTCGAATCTTTTTCATACAAATTTCATAAAAACCCACTTTAATTTTTAAAATATTTATTTCAGTCGTTATTTCTAAAATATATCTAAAATAAAATGCGATTTGAAGGTTGTAACCTTGACAGGCCTATACAAAAAAAGTCTCTTTATCTCAAATTTGATTTTTATGCGAAAAATATTATAAAATAAGAAATGGCTTACTCGTTATTAGAATGTATTGAAATATTTTCGAGCGAAAAAAAAGTATCTATATCATTAAAATTTAATCGCATGATTAGTATAATATGTCGTTTCTTTTGTTATAAAATGAAAATAATTACAATTTAAAAATTTTTTTTTATAAAGGTCCTTATTGTGATATTTTTTTTATAAAAATTTTAAATTGTCATTAGATCAAAACATGTGATTGCTAAATGAATAATATTCAATTTATAATTGTAATAATATAATGTAATTCATCAAAAAAAATAATTTTATATTCCAACAGGGATGTATTGTAGATCCTTGTTAAAGGGGTAATATTTTTTTTACTGATGTTCAATTTGATGAGTCAAGTTAGTTTACTCCTTAACCTGAAAACCATTAAGAAACCTTTTTTTTTACACTCTCGATCGACACTTTTTTAAAAATCGCGATCACAGGCGTACTCTACGAGCGTGAACAGGTAAACTGAAATGTATGTATATATTAATCAAAACTAGTTTACCAGAAATTATAAAAAGAAGTAAATATTGAAATGGATTAAATGCCAATTTGTTTTATTCCTCAAATCGGGATGACGAACAGGGATTATCTCGAACCTGAATCCCAAACCAGGTTAAAACATTTTTTATTGGTATAACAAACCTAATCCTTAACTCTCTATTATCTGTTTTGTATCCGAACCTTAAACTTTTTTTTTAACTAAATTTTTTTAAAGTTTAAAATAAAATAAAAAAAAAGGAATTTACGATAGTATGTTTAAAATTTGATTAATAAAACATATATAAAAAGAAGGTCATTGGCATTGCTAATATTGAAACTTGGGTAACAATGCAATTACTTTTGTGAATGGCAATTGTAATGACTTGCTTGAGGAAGGGAGTTTTATTACTTTTGCCATTTATATCTGTTAATTTATTATATAATACTGAAATATTTTAAGAATTTGATTACCAATGAATGTTGGTGATTAATTGAATAAATTGAACATGAATTATATCCACATATTTGTTTTATTGAGAGTTTTGGTTAGCCAAGAGAAGGTAAAGATTTGACTAGGAATTGTCCATTTATAACCTTATTTTGATTCTATTATATTTGTCTGGAAAGAAATCACTTGATAAAAACTAACGAACAGAGGAGACACGATGGTATATTCCAACCTTATTGAATAGTGAAGGTAGATATGTAAATGGCAAGTTGGCAATAATTTTCCAAAATCTTTGAACAGATAAAAGCCGCGAGAGAGAAAAGGGATAATTGCGGAATCCAAAAGTTTAGAGCTATAATTTCTGTTAACAGATTTTAAGTATTGTAAAAATTTATGTTTCATCCTAAAAAAATTATTCTTTGTAGTGGAAGATTGCGGGGGATCTTATAAAGAAACATTGAAATGTCAGATAATAATAATAACATTAATTACATCATAAAATAAATTGTATATATATTTTTCTCTTTTGTTTAATGCAAAGCTACCCTAAAATTAACATCAATCCTATTTTGAAAAAAAATAAAGGTAACATAAAGCGATTAAAAAAACTACACGTTAAACCCATATCTTATTTGTAAGAAAATATTATTTTATTTAAAATTTTTCTAGCTATTTAAAAAAATAATTAAAAAACATTTTTATTTGACAAAATATATTTAAAATAATTTGTATTTTGATTAATATAAGTACGTTTATATTTATGTGGCAAGGTTGAACTGATACGCTCGACTTAAATTAGAACAGAGATAGTAATATGTTCGAGACCGGGCACACGGGACTTACGAAGTTGGATCTGGGGAAAGATCTACAGTGATCGATGGTCCTGAGATTTTTAGGGTGAAGTCAAGGGACCCCTCGAAAACTTGTTCATTAATCACGTGTTTAAATTCAGATAGAAAGGAGGGGGGGATATTGTGATTGGTAAATTTGGTATGTCACCCGTTTCGGTGGGTGTTGTACAACCTATTATATTTGTTTTTGGGTGTTGACACATATAGAAAAGAAGTTGTGATGTCCTGATTGATTTTTTAAAATATTTTTTTTCGCTATCTATTAACTCAATATTAACCTTACGGATTGATTTTTTTTATTCTTTATATTAACTTAATATTAACCTTACGGACTCATTTTATAATATTAACTCAATAGTTTGATTATATAAATTATTAAATTGATATTTTTATATAAATTGATTTTTACATACTATATAAATATGAAAAATATATTGCATTTGTAGTTAAATAATTTTTTTAAATAAATAAAATAAAAAATTTAAAACACTTTCTTAATTTTGTTCTTCTCCCTGCTAACCTTAACAGAAGTCATATAATCCAGTTAAATTTAATTCAAAATAAGCAAATCCTATAATTTTTTTCACATAAATATTTAATCTAAAAGTTAGTAATTTTATTAAATTTCACAATCAATTACGTGATATGTAATTTAGAGCACTTTACATACACTTTACCTCTATTGTTAAAGTTTCAACTGTGGTTTGCTATTCTTCATTTCCATCTAACTGGAATAGTTAAGTGAGAATTAAAAATGAGGAGCCCTCTAGATGTTTGCTGACAAGCATCAAGGAATTGTAAGCGTAACAATCCGAAACTATCACGTCTCTACGCATAGAAATTTACCAAAAATGTCCATACTCTAGGTCGGACCCATATTTAATAACTCTGTAGGGCAGGGCAGATGTCTATTTAAATTATAATGTCTCTTAAATAATTAAAAATGAGGAGCCCTCTAGATGTTTGCGGACATGCCGCAAGGACTTGTAAGCGTAATAGTCCAAAACTCTCACGTCTAGACGCGGAGATAAAAAATTGGACAAAAAAAGCCTATGATTAATTAAATATAGGTTAGGCAGGGTAGGAGTCGATTTTAATTTTAAATGTCTCTTAAATAATTAAATTCTGTTGGTATTGGTGTTAGTATTATAATTAAATTGAAAATCTTGTTTTCATATTGGCTATCTATAAGATAAATAATTATAACTTTTGAACATCTCTCCTCATCTCCTCGTTTACATAAAGATAATCCTGTTTCATTGAATTTTCAAATTCATTTTTTCCCACTGAAAGAACCGAACTTCATGCCTCCTTCAAATTATTTAGAGTTGATTAGACTCACAATTAATTAAATTATTATAAAAAGAAGTGGAAAATAATTTGTAAAAAAAGGATACCTTTTTTTTTCTTTTTCACCCGCTCTTTATAATAAAAATATATTTTCGATAACATAACTTTAATGGGGATATTACAATGTGTTTTTAATGTATAAAAAAATATTAAACTTGTTATTACATCTAGGTATTACTTGAAAATTAGAGGCAATGATCGCAATAAAAAAAGCAATTTTATTTTAATAGTGTTTTGATGATTACACATACTTTAAAAAAACATTAAAAATTATTTATTTATAAAAAAAAAGTTTTAGACAAATATTGTTGAGGATTGAACACATTGAATTAACCAAATCAATGACCGAAGCCAAGGTAACATAAAGCACAGACTAATTCTATAAATTTTTATTCGATAAACAGCTGTTTATCATTTATCAATTTATTTAGAAAATAGTGTTGTTAATGTCTCAAGAATTTACTCATTTAGCTAATAGGACAAGTGAAAATGTCCAAAAAATTTCGCAGAATGGTAAAGTATTTATAAAAGCTGTAATATTAACATTGTTAATTAGCTTCGAATATTCAAAAAATGGTTAATCAGATAGGTACTTCACAAGATTCAGAAAGTTTACGAAAATCATTGTAATATCTTAAATATATGCTTAATTATTATTTTTTTTTTATCTAGACACAAAATTATTCATTCCACAAATTCCTTAGCCAAAGATACTAATAAATTGATCATAGAATTATCTCATATACCATTATCATATAATGAATTTGAACAGGTAATTTCAATGCTTTACCTTATATATCATTTTCTACATATTTTTATATTAAGATTAGTCTAATTTAATTATCAATACACATCTTAGATATATAATAAATATTTTTTAACTGAAAATAAATTTAAAGATTAATTTATTTCAGTCTTAAATAAGGAAATCTTAATGAAATAAATACAATTTATTATGCAATTTTATTTTATATTAATACTTTAATTCCACAATGTTAGAAACAGCAAAAATTGCAAAAAGAAAAGATAACAGAAGAATTTACAAATGCACTGAATGGTTTTCAATCTTCTCAAAGGAAAGCTGCCACAAAGGAGAAAGCAAGTATGGAAAGAGCAAAAGCTAATTCCGGCATGGTGACTGATTTCGATATTATCATTGCTTATATATTTTTTAGACTTTTGCTGATATTCCATTCAAGGAGGAGCAGCCTGTTACTTTTACTAAGTAATTGACATGTGTATCATACCTTGAAATAACTTATAAGTCTTAACAATATTTTTTTAGAAAAACTATAATTTATATATAATATTTTTATTTTACAAAGTCGTCAAATGCATTTACAAATGGAAGAAGATGTTAATATAGGTGAATTAAGGGAAAGGGAGGCCTCAATCCGAAAATTAGAAGTAAAATTTTTAATATAAATAATTACCTTGCAATTAATAAATACAATGCAACAATAAACTTTTGAATAGTGAAAGTTAAGGGTCCAAGTTTCTTCATTTTATTCTCCATATAGATCTGGAGTATAAAAAGCTGAAAAATATGCAATCATTTTTTTAGATGTACTAGCAAGATTAAAAGTAAGAAAAAGATGATTCACATTTTTTCTGAATATCTTCTATTCATTTAAAATATTACTTTTTTTGCAGAATGATTATTTTGAGAATTGAAACGTTTAAAAATTTACATGTAACATGAAGCAAGCCGACCTAAATAATATAGCCAATTAGGAAATAGCTAAAGAACTAGATAACATTTTATATAGAAAATTAGAGTTGTTTTGATAATCAATATTTATTCCTTAAAAAAACAGTTCAATATCTTATCTCTAATCATGATCATGTGTATTATTTAATTATAAGATTAGAGGTAAACAATAATTATATTTTGTTTTTAAAAAAAATTATCTTATTAATCTTAACTGACTTGCTTCTATTACAAATAATTTTCACTTTTATTTGGAATCTATTCCTTTCTTCAAAATTTAATGTTTCAATTTAATATCAAAAGGTGACTTATTGAATTTAATCAATTATGAAATATTAATTAATATTTAAATTTAATTCCAAGTAATTAAAATTCTTCAACATTTATTAAAACTCAGGCAGACATTACTGACGTTAATCAAATATTCAAAGATTTGGGTATGTTAGTTCATGAACAAGGAGATATGTTAGGTAACATAATTTATTAATTAAATATTTAAGCAACCTATATAAATTTTAATCATTAATAATTAAGAGTATAATAGGACTTTGATCCTGATTTTTTTATTGATGAAAATTGCCAAATCTGCAGGGCTATAATTTTGATGCTTGGCGGATTTGCAAACATATTCCATTTTCTAACCCTGTCCATCCTAAATTTTAAAGGAATGGGCTCTTGTTTATATTTAATCTTAAGCCTGTCCAGAATTTTAAAATTTTGATCATTTTATGGTTTGGTCCTTTTGAATAATTTTGGTTGTATTTTAAAAATTGTTCTAAGGGGAAATTACAAATCTGAGAAGAGCAGCAAATGAATTTTAAAAGGTGCATTATATATTTTACCATATTTTAAATCGAGCTGGTATGGGGTTTATAATTTTTTTTAAAAAAATACCATTAAACGGCCTGGGTCTGAGGTTTCTGATAATTATATAGTTAATATACAAAACCAGAGATACCATGATATCAGACGATACTTTGAGTTTTAACCAATTGTTAAAAGCTACTTTTAAAAATAAGCTCTCTTAGCTACTTTTTACGCTACTTTAGAATTTTTTAAAAAATATTTTTTACGTATCTCTATTTCCACAAATAAAAAACATTACTAAAATTTCATATACATATAATAATAACATTTCAATACTATTATCCCTAAGTCTAGAGCGACGATTAAAAAGTATAAGTGACTAAATAATCTTTCAACACTAGTATGCAATCAGTATTAAATTTAATTTACATATTTTTTATATAAGAATAGTCATCATAAATATTCATTTGTTGTTCATCTGATATCTAGACAAGGTTACGACTAGGGAGTGCTTCTAATCATTCATGACCACCAAATCTATCTACTGATTAGGGAAGTTGGCTACACTTAAATGGATAGACTGATATGATTGATAGGAAGTTGGGTATTAAGGGTGTTAAACAGTGTGGTGATGATTGATGGGTAAGAAATGTTTGGGGGTGTATTGGCCTCCCTGTTTGTTGCGTCGTCCAATAAATAGTCGGTGGCAGATGTGAAGCATGAAATCATAGAATTATTTATTAATTTGGATGATAAATCTAGAAGGTTAAGTGGAACAAGTCTAAACTACCCGATTTAGCAGGAAATTGGGCAAGTGATCATGAATGGTGATAATTCAATATTTAAAAATTTTTCAACGAATATTTTGAATTTGTTCTAATTTTTAGACATAAAATTGTTGTTTGTGAAAGATAAATATGTAAAAATTTTATAATGTAAATACATTTATGAATTAGGAATAGGCTTGATAAGTTGATAAAAGGAATTAGAGGTGAGCGCGGGCCTAATTTTTTATTCACGGCCCTCCCACTCACGGTGACAATAAAAAATGTACCATTACACTAAATAATTTTCTACCCTACCCGCCCGCTCACTAAAGGCAATATTTTGATTCACGCCCAAAAATTCACGGTGTTTTTAAATTTTCAAACTAATGCTATAATCCTGCACTTTTTTGAATTTATTTTATTTATTTCTCTAATTTCATAATACATATTAATAAAAAAATAAATACGATCTATAAATCGAAATTTTTATTTAGAAAAAGTAGAATGTCCATCTTTTTTTATTTCAATTGAGTACGCCTTTCCTTTAATAAGAGATTGGCTACAGAAAATAACCTTTCACTAGAAGGCGAACTTGCCGGGGCTGAAATAATTTTACTCGCCAATTTTCTCAAAAAAGGAAATGAATATTCCTGCTTTTCAAAATATTGTCATGTTATTTGTCTTATGAGCGATGATCTTTTAAGTTCATCCTCACAGCGATGCTTCATCAGAATCATCTAGAAATTCTCTAAATTTTTCATTTAGAATATACGGTCTTTTATGAGTGTAGGATGAATTAGGAAAGTTATAAATGATAGTTGGCATTGACCATTTAGAATATACGGTTTTTTATGAGTTTATAAATTAGGAAAGTTATAAATGATAGTTGGCATTGACTTATGTATATCATCTAATTTTATATCATTTAGCATTTTTAAGGTTGTTTTATATATATCCTTTTCTTCTTTTATTAAAAATTTAAGACTTGAAATTCGGATCTAGAATTAAGCCTACCTTATGTAATGGCAACTAAATAAATCTTTCTTTTAAAAGAAATCTTGTTCTGTTTCTTAAGGTTTTCATTATTATTGTATCACATTCAGAAGGTTAACAAAATTTTACTAATTTTTGTTTCCATAAATAAACCTCATTTATTGTGAGACGAGAATCTGCTCTCAGATTATCCGAGCATTCTTTAAATATTGATAAAAATTTATCTAACTCCCATATGATGTTGATATAAATGGCTAATCTATTTAATTCTTGTTTGCTAAACAAGTACACCTGTATTTCAGAATATGATTTTAAGTAACTCTGTATCATGATATATACAGAGTTCTCTCTCGTTATTACATCTTGTTTAAGGGTGTGGCTTATGCTATTAGCTGTGGATTGTTTGAAATATTATACTATTTTTTTGCACCATTTATATTTAGGGCTATTTCAGTTAAACAATTGTCAAAAATATAATTCATAATATTATTTATATGGCATATACATGCTAGCGTTTCCTTTGCTCCGTTATCAGTCATACAACTATACATTTATTTAAATAATTTTCTACTTCTGTTTATTCTTCTAAAATTGAATTGACCACACTTAATATTTACGCCTGTTTTCATTTCCCTTGTGGCCAAAACAAATGTTTTTAATTCAAAATCCTTAATGATAATATGTCCTGTAATTGTTAAAAAACTTCGATTTTTATAGTCATCCGTCCAAAAATTAGTGGTTATGGACAAAATTATTGATCATGCTTATAATCTTAATTTTAATTTCATCGTATATTTTTGGAGCCTTAGTATTCTTGAGAGTTTTTCGGCTCACAGGTATATCATTTATATTCATATGTAACACCAACATTTATTAACTCTTGGCCTAACTTGTAAAATCCTTCACTTTCTGTTGCATTTAAAGATCGAAGATCTTTACAAATAAAATATAGCTGGCTTTTCTTTAAAAAGTTTAAGCAAAATATAGCAAAATGTCGCGCGATAAAGCACCTAAACATAAAAAGAAAATATAACTAACGGCGATACCGGATGATGTTTATAAAATGCGGAAGATTTTTATTTTTCAAAAATTATTCTTTTTTAAAAAAAGGAACTAAAATAAATTATAAAATATATATTATAACTAATTGCAAATTTATATTTATAAAAAAACAACTTAAAAAATTAAAATTTCCGTGATTCATGGGAAATTTATGTTCACGCCCGGGAAAAATTTTGGGAAGGCCCGTCAGGCCTAATAATTTAAAATTTATTCACACGCCGCATAATTTCGCGGCCCGCGCCCGCCTCTTAAAGGGATAAGATTATACAGTCAAGATTGTTAATTGAATCAAGATAATTTATATTCTCTAATATTATAATAAGATAATGTCAAAAGTACCGTTCATCTTCGGATGAAGATGAGCCCTGGCAACATTTTCTACGCAAATAAAAATATTAAGGCTACTAAGTCAGCACTTTGTAAGTGTAGATTGCCCCCTAATTTAAATATTTCAACCTCAATATCAATCAGCTCAAATCTAAAAAACGGAGATAAAAATATGAATTCAGATTGAATTCTGATAAGGATTTTAATAAATTTAATGAGGATCTGAATGAAGATATTAATAAGTTTTTTTATAATATAGATTATTCTTTAAATATTTTATAAATTCCCCCAATTGACATTTATATTTATCAGAGACCTGCATAGGTACCATTTGTACGTCTCGGCCCGGGTTTTTTTTTAAAATAAATTTTCAGGCTCAGCCCGGATTTTTTTAAAATATATTTTATTTATTTCTGATTTTTACAGCTAATAACGGCGATTTCAAATATTTGGTTTTAAAATATCCGGCCCGGTTTTTTAAAAATATTTTCAGGCCCGGCCCGGGTAAATTTAAAAATAAATTAAAATGGCTTAGGACCGGGCCTGCAGGTCTCTGATATTTATTAAATATATTACAACCCTCTCTCTGCGCCAGTTGAACTTGTGTTTAGCACATAAATAAAAAATTATTACAAAAGGGACTTATCTTTTAATTTATTATATTTGCATAGTTTTATTTTTATTATCCATGGGGAATAAAAATTAAAAGAAAATTTATATAATATTTCATATTGTAAAGAATAACGCGTTACTTTTTTGAATAGCGTGTAACGCCTTCCTTTTTCAAACTAACAAGTAACTCGTTTCTTTTTTTAAAGTAACGTTTACAGCACTAATTATTATACAGCGGCAAAATATTTTTTATATAAAATTTAAAAATATAATCTTCATACAACCAGGGTACCAGGGATTAGATGGCAGTGAGGGATTTATAGAAATTTGCCTGAATTTTTTTAGGGGTCCAAAAGATAAGCCGAAGACAGCATTTTTAAGTGTCCATGAAAGGTTTTGAACACAACTTATTTACCCAAATAATTCGAGGTATTTTGAGCTAATATTAAAAAATGGTATATTTTATAAAGCATGCCTGTCACATTTACGACCACACCATATACAAATTGATCTGGCAAAGATTTCTGATTCTAATAGTCGGAACATTCTAGAATAGCCCTAACCTATTCCGAACTCATGAGGATCAAGAATTTATTTTTAAATCGGTAATTTCTAGAGTTATCAACCTAGGAATCTGTTAGTGATCGGAAGCTACCATGAATGAATTTCACTTTACAGATAAGTGAAACCATTTATGTAGTGTTGAGTAATCAGCTAATTTCTGCCGACTCGAAAACAGCTTAGGCTAATTCCAGACAACGTTTTTCAAAGCGGTTTTTGATGCACATTTTTAGCAACCTTTTTTATTTCCAAACAAAGGATATAAATTTGTCGATGTAATTTTTTTTATAAAAAAAGTATTTCATAAGCTATTTAATCATTAATTGGAAAAAGGTTCTATCTGGTAATGGTCTTAGCCATTTTTTAAGTGAAAAAATCGGCGAAAAATCAAAAATTAGGCATTGGCTAATCGTCCGTCTGCGTCACTTAATAAATACAAATAAACAATGATTAAAGATAGGCTTATCTTACGTAACGCTGACAGCCGATGCCTAATTAATTTTAGCCAATATTTAGGCCAAGCCTAATTACGATTAGGAAAGATTTTTAGCCAACGTATCACTGTTTTTCTTTGACAAAATTTTATTTAATCACATCTAAAAACCTAAAAAATTATATCTTCAATTGGAAGGATGGAAACAAATTTGTTTTTTATTTTTTTAATAAATGCATTTTTCACACTAACATTATTAGATAATTAAAATTTTATTGTAAAACGTTCCTTATTCTCATTTTCCTAGACATTCATTTACCAGGAATTCTGGTTCAATGTTTTATTTTGATTACTATGGGAAGGTTATACTTGGTATAATTGTCAATATTTGCCCTCCCCCTTCCCCTGTTTTTTAAAATATATATTTATTAGAGATCTGTAAATCCTGGCCCGTTGGCTGGGCCTATTTAAAAAAAATAATTTCAGCTCGGGTCTAATACCTTTTTAAAAATTCGGACCAGGTTGGGCTTTAATTTTTAAAATGACATGACTCAATTTTATGGAATAATATATGTTTTAAATATATTGGGGCCAGGCTGATATATAATTTTTATGGTCAGGTTTTGCAGGACAAATAAAAAAATATTCCTTTAAAATTAGTTGGGCTGGACAAATTTTTTGAAAAATTAGGCCCGATGCTGATCACTAGTAGGCTGGGCAATTTGTACATAAAAAATATTTAGCTCAGACCAGATAATTTATACATAAAAAATCAGAAAATCTGGTTTTTCATAAATTTTAACAGGCCAGCTTGGGCATTACAATATAGGATTTCAAGCAAATATTCACAAAAAATTATTTGATTTTACAAATATTAACATTCCTAATATCATGCTAACCCTCATTTGACACAATTAGTGCTTTGCTCAGGATTTCCTCAAGGCACTCAACCAAAAAATGCTCTTAATTTTGGTGATCCTCAGAAAGGTACCTACATCAACCAATTTCAATGGAAATTTGTAGGTGACAGTATATCAATCCAAGGTGCCATTACATTGAGTTTTCTTTTATTCAAAAAAATATGATTGCTTTGAAATTTATGCATGTTAAAAATATAATGATATTCCTAGTCACCTCCTCACGTTTTTTTATTATAAAATTTTTATATAGCTTATATCTTTTAAAGAAAACCTTACCTTCACCCAAATAAAAAGCAAAACGCATGAATTATAGAAAGAAATGGTAACATAGAAGAAAGATAAGAAAATTTGTTCAAAAAATTTAACAGTTTGTTTATGTGAGTCAGGCTTTGAAGATCTTTAATCTCTATTAAATTTTTGCAAGTAATATCCAAATTTTCGTGGTATAAGAGTGATCATTTTTTCTAATTTAACAATATTTTCTATTCCATTTACTTTATTCCATCCTTTATATTATCATTTATAATAATTTGAATTTCTTAAAAATAAATTAAATAGGAAATAATGTTAGCATCAGTTTAAAATTTTTTAAATGAATTATTTTATAAATTCATAAAAATTAATGATTATTTTTGAAATAACAATATTGTCTTAGCTTTGATATATTTTTAAAAAAATTCATTGATTCAACATTTTGTAGCCCAGCCTTTTTTAAAATTTGTAACTCATACCATAGCCTTTTTCCAGGTTCCAAGATAATTGAATTTAAGTATCAAAATTGTTATGGGGGGGGGGGGTTACCAAAATTTTTATTGGATTGTCCCTCTGTCACAATAATTTTATACTAATATTATATACATAGTTAACCAGAATAAATTTATTAGATAGCATAGAAGCAAATGTTGAAACTGCTAATGTCCAAGTTGAACAAGGAAATACACAGCTAAAGCATGCTCGCAGATATCAGGTATTATATATTATATAATTATATATTACTAAATTTATTAGGTTGCAGCAAGGAAAAAAATGTGTATCATATTTGGCATATTGATTGCAATTGTAACAGTGTTAGCATTGATTATATGGGGAGTCTCAAAATAATATGCACAATTAATTTTTTTAAATTATTTATTCAAAATTTTTTTTTTTAAATCACACATTGTTTTACAAGCCTTGATATATAAATTATAATAAATTTACTTTATTGTTATATTAATATAAAATATATGCCTATTTATTTTTAAAAAAGTTTATATAAATTATTTATTCATTGATTTCAAACAGTTTCAAGAGGACTTTTAACTTGCTTTAATTTATACCAATGGCCACATGCACAACGTTTTGGTTGATCTTTATATAGCCATATCCAATTAAATCCTGGCATATCCTCTTCACCTTATTAGAAATATAAAATTAATTTTGAAAAATTTAAGTACATAAGCAACCAACAATCCTTCTATCAAACACAGATGGTATTAATGTTGGTTGTTCCTTAGTTCCTGGACCCTTTTTTATAGGATTTGTTAAAAACGGATCCTTAATTTAATAAGTTTAAGATTGTGAAATATAAATTTACGTCATTTCCTTTCAATTTTAATTTATATACTCTTTCAAGTGGGCCTGTAGCTTGTGCAACGGCATCTGGTAAAACTATATATGTTATAGTATATTAATCTAATTAATAATAAGCCTACGAGCTGGTTTAACTTGTTGTGGTTTAAACTTTCGTGGAGCAACTCCAAACAATTTTCCAATTTTGGTAAATACAGAAGCCATAAGGATGGAAGGGTGTATTTACTAAATGCCATCCAAAAGTTAAAGTTTATTAAAAATGTTTATACCTATTTTAGTTTATATAGTTAATTTTAATTTTTGAAATAAAATGATTTGCAACAATTTTTAACTATGGTAAGCCTAAGCTAATAATTGATTTTCTCTGTCATTATTTATAATTATAGGTGACAATTTAGCTAGTAATTAGTTAAGATTAAATTTTATAGATCCTGAATAATTAGTAAACTAGATTACGTATTAATAATAATAATTTGTTCAGATTAAATTAGTAAAGAAACGATATGCATAAATTTAGTATATTTATATATAAAACAGATCGTAATTATGCTCCCCACTCCCAGATTTTTTTGCTAATAAGAATATACGATATTGGTTTAAGGTAAATAATATTTAATAAATGTAGAACGCTTATCCATATGACCTAACAATAAAATATGTGCAAATATCCGTTCCAATATTTAAACATTGCTGCTAAAATTACTAATAACTGTTTATTCTCTATTCATAACTGATATTATAACTTTATATTATAATAAAAATAATTTACTATAGTACAATTTATTTTGAATTCAATTGTTAACCATTTTAACTATTATCTTTGCTCTTAAATATAACATAGTAATTTAGATGAAAGAATTCAGTTCGTATCAACATCTAATCAATTAAATTTGACGTCTACATGAGATATAAAAATTTTGGGAAAACATTGCTGAGATTTACTTACCCCATATCCCAAAAATTTTTTTTACTTCCCACCTCAAGGAGACAAATTCCTTCTACTCTCTGCCCGGTTCTCGTAAACACTGATTAGATAACATTATCCATTCAAATAGCAGCATCTATATTTCAGATAAATGCATGTAAACCGGATTTATTAAATAACAATGCCAAATCTGAAGACATTATTTAAACGATATTCATAGTTTATAATAAGTTTGTCAATCCAATTTCATTAAACTACTTCAGCCATTTTATTTAAAATAAATTGACCCTGTCCTTTATTCTAGACTTTTAAATACCGTAACATAATTTTATCCAATAGGTTGGCCTTAGAATTTTTTGAGTCAATCTGATGAGATCTATCTATGCTGCTCACCCTTTTGTGTTTTATAGAATTTTTTAACATTCTATATACGAATTTCTTTAATTCTTAGAGAATATACTCTTCAAAATTTTAAAAAACTATACCGAAAATTCTACAAATAAAGTATTTTAAATTTCATTTTTATTATTCAATTTATGAAAAAATAATTTAAACAACGATTAAATTAGTATGAAATAAAGAATACATATTTGAACTCCTCATAAGTAAAATACAAGGTATAAGAAATTTTTTATGTTATTTTTTATTTAGATGAAATTGGTTCAGGAATAATTGTAGGTGAAAAGATTGAGGAGAATTAAAATAGATGTTGATATTCAAAACTAAAAATAGAATTGATAAATTTTATTAAAAATTTACGTTTTGCTTTTTTTTAGGTCGTCCGTTAGTGAAAAAAATATCCACAATCTAAATGGTCTAATATATGAATTTCGGTGTAAAATTAAAAATGGAGTCAGGTATTACAGCCAAACCGATTTACTATATAAATCTGATTTATTTATCTTCAAACCTACGAAATTTATAGAAGCTTTCTATACATTCAGGTGATCATTATCGTCCTTGACATTAATAGCGATGTAGACAAGCCGGAGGGGGGGGGGAATCTTTTAATTAAAAAATTTACCTGTTCTCGTGTATATTATCTTAAGCTAATAAAAAGTTTCAGAAAAATGTAACATAGCCAAAGGCCTGTAATTAGCGCTGTTAAACAGCTCAAATTAAGCCATCCAATATTTCGTTAAGAGTAAAATTTTTGGGTTTGCATGATATTTTTTTTGATAAAATGTTGAGCTAGTCGTTTTAAAAAATGGGCTCAAATCGAGTCGTTTACAGACTTAAAACCCTCCAATAAAATTTATTGGGAAAAATCAACCTAAAAGTGCTTCCTCCTCTCTTTACAAAATTCTGGCTATGCTTATGGATGATTATAACTCAAGAATTTTCGAAAATTGTAAGCGAAACTGATAGTCCAAACGGCATCCTAGTGCATTTAAAATGGCTGTATGAGTTGTGAGGATTTGCGATTCCTCCCGAATCACCATTTGGAGGTTAGCATTCTTATAGAATGTCAAATACTTCTGTCATCCCCTAATCTCTGCAAGAATATTATCCAACGTTGGAATTATGGCCATTTACTAGTGCTAAATTAACGGTTATTTAAAAATCAGCAGATATCTTAATGGTACCATTAGCCTTCTGTATATTAATAATAAGGTTTATCCATTTACAACTGTTTTTTATTGAGTTTACCTTGGCCAATAGGAAAAACCGGGGAACATGTGAGCCCTAAAAGGCAAACGAAAATAAAATTAAAACTACTTAATAATATTGAATAAATAATAACTCAATTTATTTCACTTATTTATTTTTATGCTATACATGAAAATAATTTGAAATATTATGCTTTTTTAACAATATATTTTTCCAAAAATATTTTTGGGAAAGGATAAAGCTACACCTGGGGAAGGATGAGTTTTCCCATGAGGGGCTTTTGAGCTAATAATATTGATTATTTTTAAATATAAAAATGATATATATTCTACACTATTGATAAAAATAAGCCATAATGGAAAATAATTATAAATAATTAGTGAAATTTATAACTATTTAAACAAATAAAAAATGAATTAAAATTGCAATAGGATCCATGCAAAAAAAGAGCATTTACATGTGACAAAGACTCGGACATTTTATATAGTTTCTTATTTTATATTTGTCTCGATGGAGACAATTTTAAGTTGTTTCATTAATCTTGATTTATAACTTTTTACTGTTGCATAATCTAAGTTTGTTTTCTCCGTAACGGCTAAAGAGATTTTTATTAAATTTATTAATGATTTCTTTACAAGTTATTTCTTTTTTTTATGATTTCTTACCATATTCAAATTTCAATAAGCAAAAATAAAATTATAAAATAACGCCCAAAAGCTTATATGAACCTCTGAATAGTAGCCCCAGACCCTTAATATTATTAAAATTTAATTTAATTTTAATTTAAACATTTTTTTGTTTAAACAAAAAATAATTTTTTATAGAATATGATTTAATCCTTTATATAAGATGGTTATTGGATAATTAAAACCTTATTAATTTTTATTTTTTATAAATTGCAGCATTTAAAAAAGTTACTTTTGAAGGTATAAATCATATATTGTGATTTAAAAATTTTATATGTGATCCGATATTAAGAAAATTATAGCTATACATATTTAGAGTTAAGTACTCTAAGAGAAAACTTAAAGGCTCAGAACCTCGGGTTCATAAGATTTCCTGTCTCCCATACCCTATATTCACCGTCCTCTCCAACTCCATCTCAATAGGTTTCAGTAGTGGTAAAGGTAATTCTCTTACCTTAAATTTTAAATTAATAAAAAAAATATAAAAGGTTTTTCATAAATATTTACCATAGTGATATATTGAAAGATATAAAATAAGTTTAAATTATTTGGAAAATTATCTTCGCATATTATAACCTCGGTCTCCCCTACATAAAAAAATTCCACTGCATGAAAGCCCGGATAGCTTGGCATATCATAATCACAAAATGGCAAAGCTCTGAAATACTTATTATAATTCAGCCTCAGCCATAGCAAAACAAATAATCTCAATCGAAACTATCAGATATTCAAGATTAGAAATAAAACATTTCTAATTAGAGGAATAAAAGTAAACACTAGTGAGAAAGGAAAGCCTGCTTTAAAATGTTTGAAGTAATTAGCTAAAATGAGATTTTTTTATCTGATTATTTTAAATTGAAATTTTAACTTTTTTTAATTGAACGAAAGTAAAAAACCAACGCATGCTATAAAAAAAATGAATATTTTCACTTTCAAATTTTGTCCAAAATAAAAAGAACACACTGTTCACATTTTTTTTTCAAAAAAATATATATCTGTTTCATATAATTGTTATCGGCTCGATTTGAGCCGATTTTTCAAAACGGCTAGCTCATTATTTTAGCCAGAAAAATATTGCTTAAGCCTCGTAGATGTCCAAATTTTTGTGTCATTTATGAGCAGAATCTTCAGGCTTACATAATGCTTTGGAATGATGAGTTAAATGTTTTTAAGAATCGGCTCAAATCGAAACAACACAAGTTTAAAATATTAAATTTTTCAAATGACTAGTGTTTATAATTACTTATATTATTCATTTTTGAGGTAAAGATAATATATTATTATAATCATCAAACTTGGATGTAGTCGAAAATATATCATCTTCCAACTAAAAATGCCAAAGATATGGTTATTTAGGATATATATTTTTCATAAACTAACAAACCAATAGTTTTTTTTAATTTTTCAGTTTAGGTTTACAGAGTCTTAAAAAGGTTAGATATGGTTAGTAAAAAATCTAATAAAGTGGGTTCACATTCTTGAGATTGCTTAGAAAATCGAAATTCTGACACAAAACAAATTAAATTTTTTAAGAAAAAATAATTATGCAAGAAATATTTAATGGATGTTTTTACATCCTCATAATTTAATTTTGAAAACAGTCTATAACTTGCCCCCATACTTCCCAGTGCTGGCCAATATCGCCTTTGGCAAATTCAGCCTTTTCTCCTAACTGACTAGTAAAATTTTTGCTAAATAAATTCTATATCACTTACATTTGGGTTTAGATAAAGTCATCTTTAGCTTAGCTCTAATAAACTAATTATAATTTAATCAAATCCGCAAAATTAAGTGTTTTATTTTGGTCTACATTTTTATATATACTATTTTACCTTTAGTCGAGAGATTTCCTTAGTTACAATAAGATTCTAAACGTAGCGGAAAACTCGAGCACGTTAGAGGCAGCACGTTTGTCCACTCCAATTTATTTATGGAAATGATTTAGCATACCAAAATTAATAAAAAAAATAATGCAAACTTTATCATTTGGGATTTATAAATAAAGCTTTTTAAA